TAATGCACTGAAAAATTAAAAAGAACAAACCAGCCACTGAAATGACTTCTTCATTGAGGAAGATCAGAGGCTGTGTGTGTACCCTCATTCTTTAACAGCTGATGGGTGTACAAAGTTCTCTCTAACTTACAGTTTAGTTAGAAAGACCTGTTATATGCTTGTTCTATGAGGTGAAAACCACAGGTGCTATAAACCAAGCTTCTTTTTTTGTCATTCAAAGTGATTATTGAAGTGTGAGCAATATTTACTGCAACCATCTCTAGGCATTTCTCTTTTTAGCAAAGACGTTTTATTATCTTTTGCAGCTGCTGGTGCACAGAGTACCTTGCTGTGTTAAGGTGCCATTGATGTTAAATGGAGATAACAGGAAAGGGTGGTGGGTGTGTACAGCGCACATAGCACAGTTTTGAAGTGGAGTTTTATGCCAATGAGATCAATACAATGCACTTTTAACCTATGTTGGTCAAACCTTACGTTGAATAGAATTGCCCTCAAACCACTGCAGTTAACAGGTCAGACTGGCCACAGCATCTAAATGATTTTAAGTGTGAATTCACTGTGCTGCAGAAAATGATTTAACCCAGTTGTTCTTTATATCGTAAGTGATCAATAACTAAAGGGTGTGTTGATTTAAAAAAAAAATGACTCTCTGAATTGGATACTGAGTTTATCTCGACACTGTGTTTCTAGTGCATGGTGGAATTACCACAATCACGAATTGTAACCTTTTTCCCCAGTCACCTCCATCTCTGCCTGTTCTAGGGAATTGTGAGGCGGAATAGAGATTCCCTCAAAGCAGAGGTTTGCTGTCTGAGAATTGATTCAGGGATGAATTTAGAATGGGCCGCAGATCGTAGCAGTGGTGTGTGACATGCAGCAGTCGTTCTTTGTTGGTGTGAAGCATGTTAAGGTCTTGTTTCTTGGCGTGTTATTTACGCAGGCACACAAGCAGATGAGAGTAACTGTGTCCCAGGAAGACTGCAGTATGTCGTCATGCTCAGGACACATTTCTCTTCCATGAATTAGGTGCCGTTATTCACAAGATTCAGCACAACTCCCCGTCTGGTCACTTGTGCACAGTACACTGTATGTGTGAGTCCCATGCTGGAAGATTTATTCAGTCAGCCCCCAGACTGTAACCTGAGTGTTGTTTCCTCTGCTGCGGTAACTTCTATTCTTATCTTCTCACGGATTGTGATGTTGTGTAACAGCCGTTTTGCGAGACGGGTGGAAGGACTGGGGATCCTCCCTTCGGGCGTGCGGTGTGGTTTCACAGATCCTTCAAGGACACCACCCCTGGGCGCAGGACCCTGGTGGAGCCCCCTGCTGTCCACGGGTGGTGGTGCAGGAGGGGCAGGGCACGATGTGTTTGCTCATGCGTAATACGGATTGATAGCGGATCGTGCATCGGGGCTCAGTGGTACTGAGAGCCTTGCTCCACAAGTGCTGCCGCCCCCTTGCACACGCTAGACAGTGCTGAATTCTTCCTCTGCAGGGTCTTTTTGGGGCAGAGGAGTTTGCTGCACCATCACAAGGGATGTGGTTTGCACATAATGCTATACTTGAACACTGCACTTTGCTGAAAGTCTAACCAGGCCAATATCGAATAGTGGGCTTCACAATCAATTGGGTTTTTGTTTTTTAAACTGCCCTTTGAGTTCTGCTGCCTGAGCTCTGTGAATTGACCTGCTCTGGAACTGCAGTGTGGCACTGAGAGCTGATGGCTCAGTACTGTGATGTATAGCCCTGTAGTCTGTGTGTGTGCCTTCTCTGATTTAGTTTTTTTTTATTCTGAGACACCGATTCAGCTCTGAGGACTAGTGTAGCCTTTAAAAAAGCATTACTGTGCTAGCCAGGAAGTCTTCGTTCATAAACCGGCGCACTTCATGTAGTAGCCGTTGCAATGCGTGTCTGTAACTGGATTCTGAAATTGGCTCTATTGACGAGTGTGGGGTTTTAGAGAGAGTGTTCTGTTTTGATGTTTAAAGTATAAATGCAACATAGCTCAGCCATCTAATACAAAAAAGAAACAGCAGACGGCGTAAGTAAATACCTCTCCGTGTAGCCCTGTGTTTTGTAAATAGTACACCAAGAAGTACTTTTGGCTCCTTTACTATTCCTGGAACTTAAACTAAGTAGGCAGGCCTAATTAGTGTAATAATTTCCCTTGGTTTGTAACCCTCTATTATTTTCTTCAGGAAAGAATGTTTGTTGAGTAACGGGATGTTTGATCGATTGTTTGGAGGTACAAGCCTGTGTTGTGTTCCACCTTTCTCTGCTTAACAGATGTGAGGTTTTTTTATGAGCTCCATAGATGAAATTCAGCCCAAATCTGGACAGTATTTACACACTGTAGGTCATGATTCAGAACAGGTGAAAAACATATGGTTCTTAAGTCAAAAGTGCTTGTATTGTTTAATGTAAAGCTCAATTTAATGTGTATATAGTTATCTTTTACCTTTCACTTGTGAGGTGCAGTTGTGCATTCATTGGAATAGTCTGAAAACTGTTGACACCCACATTAATACAATTAATGTTCTGTGCTGTGTTCTTCCTCATCAGAGCATATTTCAACCTTTTACGTTGGATCATTTTATAGGGTTGAATTAGAAAAGTGACTTCCACCCTGATCAGAAACGGTAGGTGAGAGGAAACTAGAATGTCACCCTGAAATTCCCTACAGTTTGTTTTTGCGTGTCCGTCGTGTTCTT